AAAACCTATTTTAACCTCTCTAATAAATTAAATAGTATATCAACTTTTTTCTGTATAAATTAATTACAAGTTGATATGTTTGATAAATTTGATGACTTTTACAAAAATTAACTTGAGATTTAAATCAATCATGATTTCTGATCAATTGAAGATATAAATTTAATATTTTTGGTCCATAGAATTAAACTCATTATATGGAGGAACATATAATAAGTATGTAATGGAGTGAGAAATGAGATTGGATGTTGAAGTGGTGATATAATAGATAGATGGATGGTGATGGTGGCTCTCTTAGAGTGTGGATGATTAAGCAGGAGACTCTTTTGTCTCCACTCTGTGACTACAGAGAGGTCCATGGCAGGCACTATCACAAAGCATAAATAAAGAAGGCCACGACAGCCACGCTTGACGCTCCTCCTCCAAATTCTAGCTACCTCTTTCTCCACCTTTTTATGGCATCCAAAGAGGAAATTTCAAGTACGCGACAAAAAGCCAACATTTAAAGCCACGAAATACAAATTAATATGTGAACCTTCGAAGTTTGAACCCAACTAATAAACTCAAGATATTGCATGTGCTACATTGTCTATACATGGTAGACACCTAGTATTTTTTGTGAAAGAGTACAAGGTTGTGTTTGTGTATTCTTCTTTAATTAAAAGAGAGAAAAAAAAAAAGGCTAGGTTGTTCGGACGTTTTTGTATTGTTCTTTAATTAAAAGAGAAAGAAAAGGCTATGTATTATTGATAATTTAAAACAGTTTTATATTATTATCTATAATCATAAATATAATGTGTGTTAAGTTTATTGACTTTTATATAATTACCTCAAAAATTATACCAATAATAAATTTTTATTGAATATAATATATTTATGGAACATGACCATTAATTAAAAAATAACATTTAAGAAAGCGCGAGTTTTGTCCTTTGTGAGAAAATAGAACTTGGATATAGCTAGTTTTATAAGTACTTAAGCGTTGTCATTTAATCAAATAACAAAGGGACTAGATCAATGAGTATAATTATACTTAAGTACATGCTAGCTAGCTAGCCTTGTTATTTATGAATAGTACAACAGTTTATATAGCCAGAATCAAAATGATCTTACGGATGTTAGTTTTTGTTGGAGTTCAAGTGTGAAGTGAAGTCCCACATTGGTTAGAGTTGGGCATGTTGAGTAATATATAAGTGAGAAAGATCCACCTACCTAATGCCTTAAGGTTTTAGGTTATGTTGTGGTGTCAAGCTCACTTGTATGACTGACTCACTACCCATTGTGTGAAATGCTCCCCGAAATTAAAAATTATAATATTCATTATTGAGTATTGCAAGGAGTTTAATGTACGTATCAATGTTGAGTTCTGGCGACATCGTTTTTGTTGTATACATATAGGCTTCCCTTTTTGTTGCTTTTCTTCCTTACTTTTCTTTTTATTATCTGTCTTTTATTCTTTTTATCAAAAATCGCTGTAGAATGGGGACAAGGAGTGCCTCAAGGACTCGAGCTTAGTGCTGTGTCTTGTATTCAGCATCAAAATCTCAGAAACCAAATCTGAGAACTCAGAATCATTCCAGCTTTTGAACCTTTTATCCTCAGGGGTCCTATATTAATAGACCTTTTTGCAGTTACCCCACGAGCATATTACTAATTTCACAACCAAAAAATATATAAAAATTTTAATGGCCACCTAAAGTGGAAAATTCCTTGAACAAAAAGAGTTGGTAAAAGTTGGATTCTACATCCTACACAAACCCCTCCAAGCCCTACCATTTATTGAGGGGAAAAACATTTTTTTGGCTTTTGGGTTATATACTTAGGATTCCTCATTCCTCTCACTTTAAAGTTTACATGTAAAGCAACTGCGTGGGGGAGGTTATTTCTTTATTGTGAGATAAGGAAGCAGGAGATATGTAAAGTGCCCTGCATAGTCTAGCATACACATTTGAGACAAAAATATGATAAAAGCATTTATGTGTACAGCTAGTATGCACCAAATCTTAAATTTGAAAAATCCAGTTATCGTTATTGTGATTTTTATAAATTAAAAAATATTATAATCTCAGTCAATCTGACACTAAAATAATATTATTGACTCTTTTATAAATTAGAAATTTTAATTATATATAACATGAAGATCGGTCAAAACTATTAACACATAATAATCCAAAACTTTGCAGTAAGTTTCATCCATTTGGTAGGTCTAAACAATGTTAATTACTGTTTAACTTTCAGATTAGGTGGTCATAATTACTCTGGTGTTTCCTTTCCATGCATGCCATAATAATGGGTAAATTATAAGCTATGGAAAGTGATCATGAATAAACCCAATTTCCCACATATACTATTACTTGACCCTCATGAGTCATGATGGAGGATATATTGGTGGGAACTAATTGGAGTGACAAAATCCAAAATTCTCATATAGTTCTCCAACTTTTGAGACGGGTTCACATCTCACCTCATGCCCCAATCTGCGGCTATGACAGGCTGACAGCCACCCTCCTTAACACATATACTCAACGGGCCCCTAATCAGTTAATTATGTCTTTCATATATATAGCCTCAAGAATAGTAAAGGGTGGCAAAGTTGAAGGAGTGAAAAAAAAAAATCTCATTCACAAATCAAGGATGTGAAAAAGTAGAGAGTTGATAATCCCTCATTTGTTTATTAATTGTACATTCTCATAGCTTTTTACATATTGTAATATATACTAATCTATCAAAGCCTTTTTAAAGATTAATCGTCTTTTAAGTGAAAAGATTGAATGGAGTCAATCTTTTCTAGTGAAGTCTTCTTCGTATATATGACTAAGCATCAGTAAACACGTTCAGAGGATTTAATTATTTACCAATTATCAGAGTTTTATACTTTTTATTGGGTTACCTGAGCCTTTTTTGACACAAACTATGCATGTTCTCTTTTTACATCAACATAATCTCGGGGCTTATTAATTAGCTTTACATTTAGGTTAAGGAAATCAATACTCTTCTACACGTGCATTACTTTTATTGATAGAAGAAAGGAAGGGACCAAGCTTTATGTCTTTAGATAATCAAATTTGAATGTTAATATTGTCTTTTTGTCCATTGCTTGTCCTAATATCTGTCCCATTAATTAATACAGTACTATAATTACGAAGCAGGCTTTTGATTAATGTCAGGATTTTATCGCACAATGGCTCTCTAGATTTATCATTGTGTTGATTACGGGAAAAGATATGATTCTTTTATTTCATACATATGATATAGGTTATATTAAAATCCTGCGTCTATATATTTCATAATAAAATATTAAATGGCCCGGATACATTTAATGACTATATAAAGAGAAAGAGTAGATAATTAGATATAAAATTTTAACATGGCTTATCATGTTAAAATTCAATATGAACGGATCCCTTTTCGTCATGCAACTGTTTAATCTGAATTATCTGTTCAATTTGGAATATGGTTGATCTGATTAATTAGCACTTAATACAAATTTTCATGGCTCCCACCGTGTTGACCTATTGCAACATTGCATTAATTGGTTAAGCAAAATGCCACTACCTTTAATAAATTGAAATTCTTGATAAATTGACAAGTGGAATATAAGATGGTTGATTGGGGGATCCACATTGGTGGCACTATCCTGAAGCCTTTCATAAAGCAGGAATAGTATAGTATGTACTGTGTGGAGAGATGATGCTACTACTCAATGAGGATGACCCAGATATTTTAGTTCATGCATGAATTCCTCTCTGCTTCACAAAAGGCAAAAATTAATTCAGGTGGAAAGAAATTTCCTGGTGTATGCAATAAATCAGTAAGGTGGTCCAATCACTGGTCCTTGATCCATGGCATAATCAATTATACAGAGCATGCATCCAAGAGCAATGAGAGAAATAGGTACTAAGCTTAGATTGTCACTATGTTGCCATATTTTTCTTCACTATGGTCCATCTATGCAGTGGCATAGTTTGATGAACATGGGTTTTGACACAAGTGCATGGATGAGATGGAGAGAATAAGATGTTTATCCAATAAGTGGCCATACGGTGTCATGCAAAGAAAGTGATGATAAGATTGCAAGACAAATGCCTAACATGCATGGTTACCTTTTTCTGCGAAGACATGGGAATAAAGCCATGGTGGTGTGTGTGCAAGTGTTACTGCATGCAAAAATAATATACCTTGTGTCGGAAATATGGGGCTAAATGACAAGTTCTCTGAGTCGGGCCTTTTAATTTAGTATTTGTAAAGAAATTATATTAAAGTAACTTTTTTAAGATATGATGCTTTTATTTAGTATTTACTTACTTTTATGTTAATGAGTTTTCAATTTATAAATTTCAATATGTCTCGGTAATTAATGCTACCATCTTCAAATCTAACTGTTGTTTCAAAAGCTAGCTCATTTAGGTAGTTGCTACTTGCTAACCAGTTTCCATGCCACTTCATTATGACCATTTATTAGTCAAGTGGTATGTGATGTAAATTTTGAGATGTATAGGTGCCCAAAATAAATGATCCTCACATGAAGATCTATGTCTGAGTGAATGAACACATGAATGTAAGGCAAGGACTGTCTGAAATTTCAGAGGGCTATTGGCTGGTTGTGTGTATGTATGTATAATAATACCATGATAGAACAGCCTGGAGATGGTCACGAGCAGACACTGGTTAATTGAGGAGTCATAGTCACTGATTGAACCGTCTTTATTGCTAGCGGGGCCGAGTAGTGCATCCCCTTCAGAGTTATGCCTCACTAGATTCCAGAGAAACCCTTAAAAGTTTCTTTTCATTCAGTAATAAGAACAAATGGCAAATCTACATAGTATCTAATTGTGAATCATGTGTCACGTTTTTGGGTGGATTAAGCTCATAAGTCAGCTAAACTATTTAAACTGTATTTGGATGTATGAGTTAATGTTTGGGTCACATCTCCATCAACGGCATGATTCTCAACAGTCAACAAGTTCTCTAGATATAGAATGAACGAATGAAGGAAAAGAATATATGGTAATAAAAGAAATTATAAATTAATAGTGTCATTATTAATGAATTCAATACAAAGCACGCTGGAAAAGGCCCCAAAGACCTTTCCTCCCATTTCTCCCAAAGCCAATTAGGCTCTATAAAGAAAAGAGGGTTCTCCCCTCTCGAAAACAAATGAAAAAATCTAGAAAAATTTAAAAATATAGACACGTGTTTCCATCACGCGAGGACAACAGCCAACGGATCCTGTATAGTTAGGCCAAAGCAAAGGCCGAAAAGAAAAAGAAATAAAAAGCAATTCCCGCCATAACTAAAACAGGAAAAGAAAAAAAAAAATCACACATCCGCACGTGCGAGACACGCTCCAGAGGCCGTCTCACGCGTATCATAAGAAAAAAAAAGCCCCACAAAATGTAGCAATCTTCAACTTATTGCTATTTCTTTTTTGTACTCTAGTGGTATCCCATCTAACAATGAAAAAGTAACGTGTAAACAGAAGAAGCGAAGGTGCTGGCCAAGATGAGAAGCTTGACTTAGAGAACCCATTATAAGAAACAGCTCAAACTTCAAACTTTCAATATCTGCGACTCTGCTTTTTTTCTTCTTCCAAGCTCTGAAGCAGTGTCCCACCGTCCTCTACCCTTTCACCAATAACCAGCGCATCGTTGAATTCCAAACTCTCCACTTCTTTCTTCCACACTTGCACGACCAGACCATTAAATGCATCTTTGTATATTTCCCCTCTCTCTCACACACTTTTTAAATATATTTATGTTGCAAAATCCCCTTCCCTAGGGAATCTGCAAAGCCATTGATGAATGGCAATACTACCCACCAACAAAACAATAATAACAACAATAAAGGCTCACAACTCTCATAAGATATTCTACATATTATAATGTACACCATGACTCTAGTCAATTTTAAACTCGAAAAAGACCCTCTAAAAAATTGTTGAGGTTTCTGGACAACTTGGACCACCACCTTATTCCATTCTTTTTTCCTTCTTTATTACTGTTATTTTCTCTTCACCGGGAGTTTCCCTTGTCATCATCTACCCACAAACAGTTATTTAATTTCCTCCTTTTACAAGACAATGAGGATGAAGGAGAAGAGGATGAGGATGCTGAGAATGACGAGACACTAGACCTCATAGGGGGCCGAGATGTCACACGCAGCTGTGGTAGCACCTTAGGGGGTTTCCTCTGGTTATTGTCAATCACAAGTTCTTGCAATAATTGGTAGCACCCTATAATTTTCTCCTGCAAAAATCAGATAAACGTGTTTTGGCAACCTGATCCATATTTTCACTTAGAAACCTTCAACATTTTTAAACATGCTTATTACCTTTCTTAGCCCCTCGCACCACGACTCAGCATGCTCTGGCCTAACGAGAGACCAATTAGGAATTTCGTTAGCTGCATGGAGAATGGCCGCGGCAGCAATGCATGATGGCCAATAGGCAAGAAAGCTTGCCTCTGAAAAAAAAAAAAAAAAAAAGACAGAAAAAAAGTTAAAACTCATAATGCATAACTTAACTACTTTCTTTTAATGCAACTTAAATTAAACTTGTCATCATTTTTAATCTCAACTACTTGTAGGCGAAAATTGATTAATATGATCACCTTGAAATGCCTCAAGGAGACAAGACTATACTATACTAAATATAAACGTACCTTGGATATTGGATAAGATAATTTGTGTAGCCCGTGAAATGAGGAACCCAGTAAAAGTTCCAGTTGAATCTAACTTGCACGCAAAGAAACCGAGGAAGCTAAATGGGGTAACCGATCTTAGCCTCCAATCCAAGACACCAAGGACAAGTAGCTCCATCCTTCTAATTGTTCTGGGCTCAAATAAGTATTTGGCACCCTCTACCTGTATACATTAAATTACGAAATGACGCACTTACTGTCAATTAAGTATGATGTACGTAACTAGCGATAAGTCGACAACTGAGTAAGTATAGGATTTAATATTCTGAACAATATGTCCACATTTATTAAAAAGAAACTTCATTAAGAATGAGCCTTTGATATAGTTTTATTATCACACTCAATTATGGATGTGACACACTAGTTGGACATATACCTGAAGGTCCAAAAGAGACGGAACTAGAGGTTCCTCCATCTTTGCCGCTAACGACAAACACGCGACTGATAGAAGCTGCAGTGGCCACCCATTGGTTTGCTGTAAATATATTTATATATGAAACAGTAAGTTAAAAGAAAATGTAATAGTCATCATTATCATTTATCAGTTATCAAGAGTACACTAATAATCGAACTTTTTGGCACATATTACCACATTCAATGCACGTACATAAAAAGAGTACAAAAGCTTGGGCAAGGCAAGCTATCATTATTTTTCCAAAAAATATATACTAATAATATACTTTTTAATTTTTTAATATTTCTTACTATTAGTTAAAATTTGATAAGATTTACAAAATTATCTGCAAATGAGATTCACGTGATATCACCAAACTCTGGTGAATAATAAAGTGTATACCAAAAAAAGTATTAAAATTATATTATTAATGTTTATTTTTGTTTGCACGACAAAAACATTATGATGCATTATTCAAACAGATCCTAAACGAATTCAATTTTAGTGCGCATAATAATAGGCACGTATAATATTCGTACATAATAACGTAACCATCAAACAACGTAACGAAAGTAGTAAAAAGTACTGTACTGTAATGTAGATTGTAGACAACAGTGTCCGAATACACATATTTAAATAGCATTTAAATTAATTAAATCATTTAAAAAATGCTTTTCTTGTGATAATGCGCCGTGGACATTTTCGCTTCAAATTAGAAAAAAGTCAATACATAATTACTGCATAGATTTTTTTTTCTCAAAGCACATGTGTGAGACTATTACTACGCGAACGGCAAATTCATCTTTGACTTTCAGATTCTCTACAATCATCCAAATTGTCAAATTCATCTTTCACTTTCGGTTTCCGTTTCTCTATTTTGGAATTTTATTTTTGTTAATTTGCTTATATAACTCACCGGCAACGGCCGAGAATTCAAGAACCGATCCATATAGTTAACGGAAAGATAAGCGGTGAGCGGCTGAAAAGCGTAATAAGCCTGCACCTGCAACCACCAGATTAAAATCAATCCGCATTAAAAATAAATAGATCTAAAACCGAACCGAACCGTTTTACGAAGCAGTTACGAGCGGCGCATTTTAGCACGGTCCGGTTCGGTATTCCACGCACGCGCGTGGCAATATCGTAATAGAATGCAACAGCGCGTCCGATTGCGAACGAAGGTGAAAAAAAGTGCTAGCGGCGGAGAGTTACCTTGAGAATCCATGCAACGGATTCTTCTCTGGCGGAGGCGTCGAGAGAGCGAGACTGGAACCTGCTGAGGTAGTCGAATCCGGGAACGAAGTTGCGCTCGTCTTCGATGAATCCAGCTATGGACTCCTCCTCCTCCGGCGGCGATGAATCGAGGTCGGAGGAACACTCCGGCGAGTCGCCGGATAAGATTTCGGAGGAATCCTCGCCGCAGAGGAGGAAGGAGTCGGGGAAGCAGTTGGAGCAGGAGACCGACATGGCGATCGGCGAAGAGTCATTCTGTTGCCATGGCTTCGGGTGAAGCCTCGCCGGAGAGCGATCGGAGAAGTCGCCGGAAATGGAAGTTGCGGTGGAGAATGGCGAGGGAGAGAGTGTAGCTGTTGGTTTCTTCGCGTGTTGGTTCGAATATAAATATGCGCTGCCTGGGACAGTTTTTCTTTTTTTATTTTTTTTATACAATGGATCATAAAAGTTTTGTTAGATTTGTTTGGTCAAGTATTTAAATTAAATAATAATGATAATAATATGAACAAACAGGTGTAAATTAAGGTGACTGCATACACAAGGTAAGATTCAAATCCTACCTTACTTAAAGGTGAATCAACTCCTATCGCTGAACCACACACTTGGAGTTGAACAAACAGGTGTAATTCTCTTTAGTTAATCTTTCAATTCGAACTTTATTTTAAGAATTGGATTCCCGTTTCATTTTGAAAGAAAAACAATGGATTCAATCATTTATATAATTTTTTTTTCTATCTTTGCCTGTCATTAATACATATAATGAATTATATACCGATAAAAAGTAATGAATATATAAATATTAATTAATAATTATGATCCTTTGGTCAAATGTTTATTTATAGATCGATAAAATTGAAGTATGATATAAATCATATAATATTAATAAAATGATATAATAATTAAAATTTAATAATATTTAAATTAAAAATATAATATTTTCAAAATATTATAAAATATTAATAATTTTTCATTATTTTAATATTGAGTCATTATTAATGTTATAATTTTAATGATTAATAGATAATATTCGAAGAAGATTAAAATTATAAATTTTATAAAATATCCCTAACTTTTAATTATGTAATTTTATAAAATTAAAAAATTAAAATTATGAAGTTAAAAATAAATAATTAAAATTACAGATCTAATATTATAGAAAACAAAATTACAATTCAACCAACACTACATAAGTATTATTTCAATTTCCCAAAATACTTATATAGACTAAGTAAATTTAAGATTTTTTATTTAAATATTATTAAAATAATAATATTTCTCCCAAATACTACCCCCAACTTTATTTCCTTTAATACTACTCTCTTATTGTTTCTTCTAGAAACTCAATCCCCCATCCAACTTTCCCCTATAGGTTAAAAAAATAAATAAATAAACCCATTGAGAAGTAGGGTTGCCCAAATCCAACTTGCCAATGGGGTTTTTAATTTTTTGTTTTGCCTTTTTTATATTTAATTTAATAATTTATAATTACCTGTATAAATGCGTAGAAGAAAAAAAAAGAGTGTTATTGAGGAAATAATATTAGTTGTGCTATTGGTGGAAATAATAATTATTTAACAACATTTAAATTAAAAAAACTAAATTAAAGAGCATGGGTGAAGGAAGCACGTGAGAGAGCCAGAGATCAAGCCAAAGAGTGAGACAAGATTGAGAAAGACAGTGATATTCATCATGAAAAATAAAAATAATTAAACATAAATTTTAAAATCTTAAACCCTAAATCCTAAATTTTAAAATTGATTCTTAAATAATTGACTTATTACACGTACAAAATTTGTTATATAAATAACTAATTTTATAAGTGTTTTTAAAATTAATTAATAATCGATCGATTTTTAAAAGCAGCATGTTTATTTATAAAATGTTATTGTATCACATTTAAAATTGGTTTCATTTTAATCGATTGTGTTTTTTGTCCCAGTGATAATATAATAACTACAAAAGTTTTATTCATTAGCTAAGGTGAACTATATAGATTACACAATATATATAGACCTTGTTAAAAATTAAATTCTCAACGATGTTATTTATCATCATGAAATATCTCTTAACGTTTTTTTTAATAATTTTCTTCTCCCTCCTTTTTTCACTAGATTGAAAATCATGCAAAATAATCTTTTCACCTCATTCATGTTTTAAATAGGCTTTTTTATATATATGTATAAATTGGGATGTTTCAGGTATGGTTCAATTTTTGACTTAAAAATTATTTAAACTAAACAAGTACAATTCAATTTGGTTTAATTTGAATGTAATATAAAATCTGAACCAAACCAAATCATTTAAAAATCTGTTATTTAAAAATCGTTTAAAAATATATAATGTTATGTTATTTATTTAAGACTTGTACTTTAAAAGATGAAATTAAAAATATATAAATATTAAATTTTCAGTCACTTAATGTATTTATCATCAATTTTTATCTTATTATTTTAGAGAAAACATTGTTTTAATATAATTTTAATTATCATATTAAATATTTTTTCATATATATAATTTGTCACTTAAAATAAAATTTGAAATTTTATAATTTTTTATAATTTCAAATATTATAAATAATTTATAATTTTTTATTTTAAAATTCAGTCAATTATTTACAATTTTATAAAATACATTTTAAATTAAATATATTATAACGTATATTTGAAGAGAGAGAGAAAAAATTTAGTAACTTACTGTTTTATAAAACACTTTTGATGTAATGTATCAATATCATATACCTACATTATGTATTTGGAGGAAAAAATATATATATACATATAAATACGATTGGTTAAAATTAGTTTCACATTTTAAATTAACTAAACCAAACTACGAGGTTAAGGAAAATATAATATTAAGAACTTTATATTATGAATTCAATTGTACCTGTGTCTGAAGGACACACTAGTAATCTTCTCGTACTCTGAGGGCCGACTGAGAGCTCCAATTGAATATTCTGGTGGGGGGAGATACCTGCAAAAGGCACTCTGACGCTTAAGTCAGGACAAACACAAATATCGATAGTAATTAATGAATAGTGACGTTATCTCGTGACATGAGCTATTTATACTGATATTTATGGGCCCTGACCTCCCTGGGCCCTGTGACAGGATTACCATATTAGGTAATACGTCTCTAATCGGCTTATTGGTGTGATTAATCCTTAACCTTTGATTAAAGGTAATCCTTAATCCTTGACTAGGGGTGATCTATATTTATGGGGTATTCGGTGGTCGATCAGTTGTCAGTTACCTGGTTCGACCTTCTAGGTGTCGATTGTGTGTCGGTCATCTGGTGGCCGAATGGCCTTACCAGTACATCAACATAATTTGTTATCGTGAAAATATTAATTATTTAATAAGAGAAAAGAGGTTAAGGAAAATATAATATTCAGAAATTTATATTATGAATTAAAAATAATTTGTTATAGTGAAAATATTAATTATTTAATAAGAGAAAAAATAAATATTAATAATTTATTATTATTAATAGGGGCATAAATTTCTGTTATCATAATATTACTTTTGGTCCTAATTATAAGTAGCATAGGATAAATCATTAAGACTAAAAAAAATTTATTAAATTAGTTGTTTTTAATTATTAATTTTACCTTAAATTTAAATTTTATTTTAATATTTTAAGTGATTGTTATATTTAATGTAAGTACTCATAATCCAATGAATAGAGAACAAGTGTAACATCGTATTTTTCTTAATTATGTATATTTAATATATGTAATTAAGTGTAATGTTTTATATTGCGATGCCCATGTTGGAATAAGGGTTAGAGTTGAGCACTGAACTTAAGTTATAGAAGATATAACTTAAATATATGAGAGTTGACTCGAGGAGGATTGAGGTATATAAGGTGATATTTCACTAAAAAAAAATTGACGTGTAGTGACATACACTCTATAATGATACAATATGTGTCATCAAAAACTACTTTACTTACACAATATATACAATATATATTGGTATATTGTTAAAAAAAACGTAAGTATAAACTATAATTACACACAAAATATGTTGTTAAATCTCATTCAAAATCAACATTAAAATTATGTGTGAATATATACCAAATAGATTTATATATACATATGTTGTATCTATAGTAACATTTTTTTTGTATGTCACTATGTAATATTTTTTTGTAGGGTTTGAGAAGTGAACTTCAAAAGTTCATAACTCACTATTTCTAAAAAAAAACAAAAAGAAAGTAAGGTTTGTTAAGTCAAAAGACAATCTTAGATCCCTTAGGTCTTAAATTTTAATGATAATAAACATAGATATTTTTCTAGTGAAAAGTTTTCATATAAGACTATAAGACGATAGGCTATTTTGACATTTAGTCTCATAGACAAAACACTTCTTTTGTAAGATAAAATGCTCTTAATTTATATCATTTATGATGTTTAATAACATAATCATCTTTGTTCACATGATTCCTTATATAGATCGAATTGAAAAAGATTCTTTGGTACTCAAAATTGACTAAAGGAACTAAAGACATGTTTTTCGTAAAAAAAAAAGGGGGGGGGGGGGTAGCATATCTCATAAAACACGAAAAATTGTAGGAAAAGATGTTTTAGATTAACACATGCATGGTTCCTCTCTTTTGGTACCTAAAAGGTGATCGGTAGCTTCCTTAATCAAATAAGAAGTGACAATTTGGTGAAACACATTTAATATATCAATGGGCACTTCCCTCTACAAGGAATGAAGATGAAGACAGATGAAACAAACCTATGAGATATACTTAAAGATTTGCAACGATCATCTTCATGAAGCACCTATATAAATAAGCTTAAAGTTTAAAAAAAATATTTGTAAAAATTACATTCATTCTTTCTGTAAGAAAAACATTGTGCTTAATAGGTTGTATTACGTCTTGATAGTAAGATGAAATAATATTGTTATCTTACCCAACTTTAATTTAGTATTATTATTTTGAGTAGAGGCTTAATTGTAAAAGAATACTTGGTTGTTTGAAGATTGGAGAGGTTTTGTATTAAAAGAATACTTAGGTAGTTGCTTGAAGAGGCAAGTCAAAGAACACTTCAGTTGAGCCAGAAATGACTTATGAAAGAATACTTATATCCTTGTAAAAGATAATAGAACTTGATCGGATTGATCAAGAATTGAATGTAGTCTCAGTAGTTGATAAAAATCAATATAAAAATGCTATGTATTCTTTTTACTTATCTTTTCGTTTGCACTTTTACAGTCACACTACTACTTTGTTGTTTCAAGAAATGTTGAGTTTTCGATTGACACTATTCAACCCCCTTCTAGTATTTCTCTTTTCTCCACAAGGCCTTGGGAACTCTGAGTTGAAATTTTAG